ACTGCACCGTCTGGCTGAAGGTAATTTCAAAGCCTGTACGGGGAAGGCAAATTTTAAATGCCATCGTTTTGGACATGTTAAGGGAGAAGAAAGCGTATGGACCTCATTAACCTTAGCTATAAATGGCTTTGTAGTGTTTACTCTTGGCCATGAAACTTGAGCTGAAACCATGGAAGCGCATCGTTCTTCTTCACTTCCTTGTAAAAAATGTTGTCATAAGCCCTCGGATGGTGTACTCTTGCACACAGGAGATATGTAGTCCTCCTGTAAAACTGCCATACTTTGGGTCCGTGGACATTTTAGTAAAAAATTTTGAGTCAAAACAATGAGCTAGAATTGTAGAAACACTTCACTCTCTTTTAACTCTGTTCCATTCATCACTGCTTGCGAAAGGGATTTCTGTTGCATAGTAATCCCTCTGTTGGCTAGCCAGTATTGTAATGAGGAATTTTGTGTATGAAATATGGGCAAAATCAAGGAAGTGGGCTGTTCCTGTTTAACTCTTTTCGTGCAGGATATTATTCGAATAAAACCTCTTGCTGACGCTGTCCTTCCATCCATGACGAAGGCAGTTCTTCTGTGATACAGACTTTGTTTCGATAATCCGCCACTGTAGAGTAGAAGTTTGCCTATAAATGTCGCATTAGAACCACGTAAGCAAGTCGTTTCCATTTTTCTTTTCGAATTGGAGGTAAATAGTATATGATCTTGCCTCGTACATTTCTAGGGTGCATTTTAGAAGAACCTTTTTAGTGAAACAATCATTCTCAAGGCTTCCATGCAATGTAGTAAGTGAGTGCGGCGAATGACGTCGACATATTGCCCATTGTAGTTGGATGGTGCCTTCTCTGTCAGTGTCACGCAGTGCTTCCTTAAGGAAGTGAATTTTTCGGTCACAAAGTTGAATGCTGTCATTTTGTTCATTACTGTACTTTGGCGTAGCGTTTTTCTGTTTATTCCTGTGTGGTTAGTATTTTTTCGATATTGTCGTCTTGCCTTTCGTGGACAGACTTGGAATTGTTGCTGTAGAAAGCAGCTACTGCTGGTCTTGACAAACCAGAGCGTCTCTGTCACTTTCTTTTTACCACATTAATCCAGGTCTTCCTTAAACACTTTGAAGAAGACAGCCAACACGATTGCGTTTCCATTGTTTGCATCTACCTATTGACTCAAGGGTTGACTTAAAACAATACAATAGGTTCCATAATGGAAGAGAAAAGAGGGAGGGTTAGAGGTTTAAAAACTTGCTAGGATTTTGAGTGGCCAAACATTGCACTGTTTGCTCTAATTTGCGTCTCTTCATCTATCCATGGGAAAGATTTTGGCCTGCACCTCGGTGGTTTAGCAAGAGAACCAACACGCAAGGATTGCTCCTACTCACTGATTTGCCTTCCATTTAATACCCCTTTCTCCTCACTGTAAGATAGTCATGTGCTGTGTTGGTGCCTTTGTATCTCGAGCGAAAATTTCCTTTTCCTTATATTTACGCATGCATCAATTGGGCATGTTTAAATTGTTGCCTTTGAGATAGGGATTGAGATATAGTTGGAGTCAAACTAGACCTATGTGGACATTTTACAAATTTAGTCACTGAACGATATCTCGGTTCCGGTATTTAATGTTATTCTTTAGATTTATAGCCGTATGTGTCATCCACTACCCCGAGGTTTCAATAAACACTTTGCCAGTGCAGATGGTCGTGACGCGTTTCACAGACCACGCACTCCTCCTCTCTTCTTCTCATGCGCATAAAACTGTACCGAAAACAGGTCCATTCCCGTCGCTTATTGTTTGCCCTCAGCCCCGCGTCTTATGACTTTTTAAAGCTAGCGCACTATTCAAAATGATTTTACGCCTTAAATAGCCAATTGAAGAAGTTAACTAAGTCCTCTGCGAGCGAATGATCACAGCACAAGTTGATGTAATTAACTGTGCTGTTCCACTTGGGATATCATAACACTATGACAGAGGAGGAATGCAGCAGTTCTCAGACTGATTTTTTCCTGTGCGCAGACAATTCTACACGATAACTTTTCCATCAATTTTATGCATGAGATGTTAGATTAGAAAGGTGGATGTTACTCCAGTGCTGTGCAAACCTTTAGTTTCATATTTTAAAACTTACTGTTTATTATTAATTTTTCTGTGGCAAGAAGCTATCCTCACGAAGTCAAACTAATTCACTAGCTTCGGACTAAAATATTATTCAGCGTTAGAATCACGACAATGTCACGTCATAACGAGGATGGCATGGGGTTCGTGACAAACAGCCCCCCGGGGAGTTAAACTGAGTAGCCACACGGTAGACGTACGTAAGTCATTGGACCTCATTGTTTGTGACCTTAAGTGCAAATAAACAAGTAATATGAAATAAAATGAAAGCGAATCTTGCCTCAAAACTATACATACTCTGTTCCTGAGCCATCTTGATAATGCAGAGGGCGGAAGAGAGTGGAATTATTTCAAGTTCTTGGTTTGTTATAATGATGTGGAAAAGGGCTAATGTGTTTAACAGCAATAGAGATTAGTTGAGATAACCACTTGTGCTTCATTTATTTCCATTGCTAAAATACCGATTAGATCGATTCGCTTTTATGTAGCATGCAGGTTTTTCCCAAGAACTTCCCAGTCTTTGACACTAGTCGGATCCACTGTTTATTATTGCATCAAACACACCCACTCCGCCAGCGTGATCAGTTGTTGTTGTGTCATTAAGGCATAGTGTGCTTATGGAAATGCTTAAGGAGCTTAACTGTCAGGTCATCCACATAAGAGAAAATAAAGTCTTTAGTAGTATTTCTGTGTGATGAATAGATATGCGATACACATTTTCTCACTTCTACCATTTGTTTTTCAGTAAGACTAACTTCCGCACGTGACGGACGAGGCCATTCAGTGTACTAACATGGAATGAATTGAGTACACAATATGTAGAAGTATAAGGCGACGTGCCACGCC